CACACTACATCTTTAATTCAGGTTTATTATACCAACACTCACCAAACTAATAAGGTTTTATGGCACCACCCCCTCACGGCCCACTTGTATCCCAGTCACTAAAATTGTAATGGACAGACAGTAATCGAACTATTCTATCTGGATAAATGCATTTTGGCTTTTATGACTCCTCCTGTTTCGAGAACTCAAGCGAGGCGTGACGTGACCCACAGTAGCTTTTATATAGGTAAGATAAGTTGATTTTCACCAAGAGTGTCGTTAGCAAAAATATTATTACCTACTCTAACCTGACGCCATTTTAAAAGGTCAGGTCCTAGGTCACCGATAAATCTTTGCCAGTTTCTGTTGTTTTTCTAAGACTTATAACCGGAAGTGGTGACTACTGCAATCGGCAATATAAAGTATCAAAAGAAATATGTTTATGACAAGCAATCAGTTTCGAAATGATTGGGTATACACAATAGAACTTACTGAACAGAATAAAAAAAAATATTTAACGACATGAAGTATTTTTAATGTTTTTTTTTGTAAACAGCATCTCACCAAAAAATGAAAAATATATATAAAAATTATACAAAAACTCCAAAAATATATATGAACGTTTTCACGACGCAACTAGATAATATATAATAAGTTTGCCCTAAGTTTCATGCAGTTTGATTAATTATTGTCACTGTAGGAAGAAAACAATTAATGAAGTGATACCACTCCAGTTCGGAAAGAGCTAGGAGCTCCAACTCAAATATTATTTTGTTTTGTTGAAAATATTTTAGTGATTTAAGTTGACAATAACTATTTTTACTGTTGAGAGAAGAGAAATTCCAATTACTTCGTATGTTGCTCAGGTTGACAAGCTTTCGAAAGTAATCACCTTGATCTTTCAAACAAATTCGATCTTATATTTTAATGTGTATTATTTAGGTTAGAAAATCTGTATAAATCAGTTCTTTAAGCTTTACTGAATCCTTTGCACATGAAGAGAGAATTATTGATCTTCTTGTTGGTACAGTCTTGCAAACAAACACATTGAAGGTGTTACAAGCTGTTTAATGGCTACAGAGAACATGACGTCAAAATTTTGAATTGCAGAGATTACTACTGGATAAAATGCAAAGCTCCAGCGTATCGAGGTTATCATAGACATTAAGGCGTGTAACATCGTCAGAAAACTGGTTACGATACAAATCTTAGGAGCGAACTTCCAAAGTGAAGTTGTTTGAAAGAACATCGTTAGTTAAGGAGATTAATTTCTGGTTTTCTTTTGCTAGGAAATAATTTAAATGCAATTGACTTAAATAATATAACTAAGATTAAAATGGAATACCAAAATGTAAGTGGTTAAACTTTATATCCAATACAAATGTACTGCCTTGTTTGTAAACTGAACTATCTACACTTTCTATTACTTTCAGTGGAACCATGACGGAACAGAAGAATTTAGTTGCTGCAGTTGTTGAAGTGAGTACAACTTATATAACTATCGCAGTTTTATGTTCACTAGATACTGAAGTCCAGTGCAGTAGCTGATAAAATACTTAGGTGGTAAGATAACAACTGTAAAAGAACCACACATATTTGTGTTACTCTTTAAATTACACCTTTTATAGTATAATAGTCGTATTTACGTGCTGTAATTGATGAGATAGCCATACAGCAAAACCACGACTTTAATAATACAATACTAATAGTCTGGAGCGGATTGCCATTAAAAGACCAACCCTGGCATTATAACTAACAATGACTGTTACGCATTCAAATTTCGAATGGCCTAAACCTGAGTTAAATTGTAATTTAGATTTAGTGGTTAAATATGCCGATATGTATCCAATTTATGATATTTGCCAACAAGATTCATACACACAGTTTTCTTTGTTTTATACAAATATGTTTTAATAGACAAACAATAATATAATTTACAATAACAGTTGGCCCGGCATGGCCAGGTGGTTGAGGCACTCGACTCGCAATCTGAGGGTCGCGGGTTCGAATCCCCGTCACACCAAACATGTTCGCCCTTTCAGCCGTGGGGGCGTTATAATGTGACTATTCGGTGGTAAAAGAGTAGCCCAAGAGTTGGCGGTGGGTGGTGATGACTAACTGCCTTCCCTCTAGTCTTATACTGCTAAATTAGGGACGGTTAGCGCAGATAGCCCTCGTGTAGCTTTGCGCGAAATTCAAAAACAACAATAACAGTTATTACAAATAGTTATGACGAACAATGATTTATATACAAAAGTTTTACAAACTTACAAGCAATACAAATCTTCTTTCTAGTCTGATACTTCCTTGATATCTTATCGAGGGTTCACAATGAGCGAGTTAATTTCGAATTGACATAGGTACAATTCACTTAACGGGGAGCTAGCTACCTAGTTCTTCTTTCTTCACCGGCCACATGTTGAGCTTATCACTCAATGAAGTTAGGTAATGTTTTCAAAAAAATTGTAATGTCCGATGTGAATCCACCGAAGTTAAATGATTTGTAATGTTCGAAATTTATAAACATTTCTGGTCAAATATCTGAAGTTCCCGATTACTATAGCTTCCGAAGTTTATAGCACACTAACTATAGCAAACCAATAAAGATACTGTTTTTTGGCGCGTCGCATTGGTTATGTTTATAGACTTGTGGATAGTTTCTCGAAATTTCAGTTACGTAAAACTACTGACGCTAACACTA